ACAGATGTACAAGTTGAGGAAGATAATTATTGGAGAGAAAATGAAAGGAAGTAATGAATGCCAAATGGTATCTTCCATCTAAGGTGTCGCAGATGCTCCTGGAATGCCGTTTTGTGGTTTGGGAGTGAGAAACACGCTATCTATCTTCTCTTGGGAACTCTTTCCACTAATATTATTAAGAGCCCCCTCTCTCCTTTGGCAAGCTCCAAATGCATCTGTTCCAAATTCATTCTAGACCACGTTCGTAAAGTACTCGAGCATCAAAATTCTTTAAACTATTTTCAATATTTAACTTGTGGTTTAGTTACTTCTTGATTGTATCTATGGACATTATGATAAATATTTCTTATATTTTTTTAAATTAAAAAAATACCCATACTTTTTATCTTTTATTCTCATACTCCATTTCTTCTTGAAATTGTTATACCCGAAATGCACCCATTACTATTCTATTAGAACCATACCACCCTAGAAGCCAGGGAACAAAACGGTTCTAGCATAGTGCTACAGTTTTCTTAGAACTATAGAAAAAATATTTGGCCATAATTTGCCTATAAATTTGTTGAGAATGTGCCTCTGGTTGTTGTTTTGAGGGCATTATAGTTCCACCCCCCCCCCCCCCCCTCCCCTCCTTTTTTATTGGTCATATTGGTTGTTTGTGATGAATATTATTCAAGCTATGAATAACATAAGAGTCAGTTATTATTGTTGTTTCGTATTTTATTTGTTTCATGACCAGAATATAACTTACTGTGTTGTAAAAAAATCCCCTGAATTTTGCAAGCGGAAATATTAAAACAAGGAATAAGCATCCAATGAGAAATTTTGCGAGGAAATATGTCAATATGGTTCAGATAGAACCAAGCACCTTCAATATAGTTCTATTCGAGAAATTTTGAGAGGGAAAATATCGACATGGTTCAGATAGAACCGAGAACCTTCAATAAAGTTCCAATAGAACTATAGCAGTTCCATTTGGCACCATAAGTCAATAGTGGAAGCACTATGGTTCTAGTAGACCCGTAAGGGTCCTAGCTTTCCAAGGCATTATGGTTCTAATAGAACCATAGCCGGGGTATTTCGGGTACTTAAAAAAAGAAAAGAAAAGAAAAAATGGGTATGCACATAAAAAATAACAAAGATGGGTTTTTTCTTAATCTGGATAAATTAAAGGAATATAAGCAAAATTTTCATTTCATTTATTAAATGAATACAATCATATGGGTGCTCTCCAACACAAAGCTTCAAACAAGTAATGATCCCCCCACTCTCAGTCATGTTTATGTTCCCATCCCACTTCCACTCCAACTCACTCCCAATAACTATACCCCTGAAAATGTTAAAAGGATGCTTAACTCTAACAAATTGAGGTTGCGACAAACTCTTTGAAGTTGTAGTGACTAAGTTCATCTAGTGGATTGCCTCAAGCATGAGGTCAATGCAATGCGCTGCACTGGCTTCTTCACAGCCAACACTTAGCCATGTTGGTAACCACATGGACCACATGTGTCTCCCCAACCTCAAAACACTTTTCTACTAACTCAATAATGAATTGCGCACCATGAATCTTATCAGTAGAATGAATGGACCTAAAAAATAGTCCCCATAAGACTTGAGTTCATAATGCTTCTACTCCTCTTATAGGACCATGTATCCATCATTAAGGTGACCCTACTCTTACCATATGTATCCTTGTGCAAAGGTACTCATTCGTGACCTCCACCTCCTTTCTCAATAAGGGGACCTTGAGCTCGTAAAATCGTTATCCTCATCATCATCCTTATCCCAACTATTTAGGGTTGGCTACATAAATCTTGTACCGCCATTTTGTTCATAGGTTCAGGATTCATGACAAAATTTTATGTTGGCTGCCCTACCTAACACAACCCTCCTCCTTCGCCCTGCCTTGGAACCGGCATTACCGACTGGGGACAACTAAGGCAAAGTTATATAGGGGCCTTATACAATGGCATAAACTACCCCACTGCATCACATGCAACTTGAAAGCTCTTCAAGCTAGCAGTATTGAATGGAAGATCTGCATCATAATATCATCGGGCTACAAAATCGAGACACCCAATCCCTATCATCCTTCTTAAAGGGGGTCTCAACAGTAGTCTGCCCATTAATCAAACATTAGAATTGGGAGGGGGAAGTAAGAATCCATTGGCCCTTTCCTTCCTCAGCATATAGATCTTCTTCTTCTCATTCAAAAATATCTATAAATCTTGCAATATCTTCGAATTTTCTCCATACCTCTTCTTTGTTCTTTTCCCCCTTAAATGATCCAACATCTCTCTCCTAACATCCGCAGGCACTTGAGTGCATAAGACTACATCCCCCTCAAATACCAACCAGATGTTTCTTCAATCCATTAGTATTGGCATTATACTCCTTTTTACAATACTTACGAACCACCCTATTCCTATCATTCGGTTCGGGACGGAATTCATATTTCCAACCCAGATAAACTTGTCATCTCGAATTGAAGGGATGAAGGATCAAATCATTGTTCAAAAAAACGGACCCCCCAGTGCCTAAGAGGTCCAAAAGGCCTAGGCACATCGCCCAGGCCTAGGCGGCCAAACTAGGCGGTGGTCCATGGGCGGCCGCCTAGGACGTACGAAACCCGCATAGGCTGCCGCCCAGGGCCTGCGCCCCACCCAAAGGCAGAAAAGTAAATTTTTTTTGTTTTTTATTTTTTTCAAGATATAAAAGTTTAGAACGATGGGTTTTAGGTTCATTTGAAACCTAAACCCATAAGAACCCCTTTTAGAGAGAAAGAAACCTCCAAAAAAACTACATTTCATTGGATCAAAGTGTTTATCAAAGTTTGGAGTTCGAGCAACCAAAGTAAGTGCACAGCTTTATTTTTTAGATTGCTTGTTTTATTTTGAGATATCTTCTTCAGGAGTTAGTCGGAGTAGAGATCCGAGTTGGAAATATGGATACAATCCGAATCCAAATGACAAAAACTGCGTTAAATACAATTTTTGTGAAAAATATACAAAAGGAGGCATAAACTGGTTTAAGAAACATCTTGCCGGTATTAAGGGGGATGTTGCCCCATGTAAAAATGTTCCTGAAGCTATTAGAGAGGAGATTAAGCAATATATAAGTTCTGTAAAACAAAAACAAGAACAAAATCCTTGTCATAGATCTATTTCTGTTACTTCTAGAAGAAGTGATCCGGGTTGGAAGTATGGGTACAACCCAAAACCAAATGATAAAAATTGTATAAGGTGTAATTTTTGTGAAAAAAGATACCAATGGGAGTATTAACCGATTCAAAAAACACCTTATTGGTGTTAGAAGTAATGTTGCTTCTTGTACAAAGGTTCATGACGCAGTTCAAGATGAGATTAGACATCTTCTGAAACCAGAAAATGATGAAAATAAGCCTTGTTCTATTGAAGTATCTTCTTCAGGTTCTAGTTGGAGTGGTGATCCAGGTTGAAAGTATGGCTATAACCCAAATCTAAGCGATAAAAGTTGTATTAAATGTAATTATTGTGGAAATTATACTAATGGGGGCATTTATCGGTTTTAAAAACACCTTGCCGGTATTAAAGGGGATGTTGCCCCGTGTAAAAATGTTCCTGAGGCTACCAAGGAGAAAATTATACAGTATTTGAGTTCAGAGAAGCACAAAGACAAGGGTAGAGCAGCCAAGACTCCTAGGGCCTCATCTGCACAAACTGCACATACTAGTAAGAGGAAAGTAGAAAAAGAGGAGGAAGAGGCAGATTCAGAAGAAACAGAGGAGGACGAGCGTTATATTGAAGAGAGAGATGGCTCTAATGATGATGGCCTCAACTCTGATGCATATGATGAGGCTTGCCCTATTGATATTCCTTCTGATGATGATGATGATAATGATGAATGATGATGACGACTGAAGACTCTTGCCTCTTGGTGCTGAGTGTTGAGTGTTGACTGTTGTGTTGAGTCATGAGTGTTGACTTTTGTTAGACTGTATATTTCTGTTGTGTTGAGTGTTGACTTTTATATCCTACACACTTGTACGGTTTTACAGTTTACTATTTTAACAATATGGATTATCAAAATTCTCTTCTCGACATCTATCTTTTCTTTTCTTTTTCAACTTGGATTTGGAATATTGTGTATTGGTAATTTGGTAGAATGGTATATTTTTTTCAACTGGGTGACCTAGAGCCCCCAAGCCGCCTAGGACCCACCTAGCACTTTTTGATACATTGGATCAAATCATATCAATAGTGACCTTTTGGGCCCAGAATCTAAGGGAGTTTCACATGGGTGAATTTTAAGCCAAAGTTGAAACTCATTCTACTCTCAAGGCCTAGTACCATAATGAGATCAAATCACGAGGTTCCTCTAAAAGTTGGGGTAGTCAAGTGAAACTTCGGTAGTTGCTTCCTCAGTAACCCTATACCAAAAAGGGTAAGTGGTCTTTTCAGAAATAGCTCATCTCAGCTCTACCACTAATCATCAGGCTCTATTACAATAGAAAACTCCACATTTACTGAGGCATATGCTTTAATTGGAAGCATTAAACTATTTGACAACACTTGGGGCCACTCTCTCGTTGTGGAAGAAGATTCTAGAACATATGTTCTTGGGCTTCTAAGACTTCTCCTTGTTCGTGGAGATTAGAACCTAACTTTGACAAAACATTTGACATTATGATGTCCCAATATATACTGTTTAAGCACATCTTGAGGGAGGCTAATGCAGCAGCAGATGCATAAGAAATATAGGAAGCTTCAGGCATAAATTTAGCAACGCATTCACCTCAGAAAGGTTATTGAAGTTTCTGCCTCTTTACATAATTTTGTGAAGACCATCCTTAAAAGTAACAATTTGCAAAGGGGACAGCATCATGTAATCTGTACTATAACTTTCATGCAATACGGTCAATTCCATTAAAAAAAAAGTGATCCATATCATGCAAATAATTCGATTACTATAATAGTGTAGGGGAACTCCAAAAGTTATTAACATATTAAAAGAACTAAATCTTACGGACCTGGAATATAAATATCAGGCAGGGGTGGTTGTGCCAAAGACTTCATAGTTGAATTTTTGTCAACAGAAGGTGAAGGCCTTGGAGGAGGAGCTGAAGCCAACTGCAGTCTCTCCCATAACTCAGAACAATTTGTTTTCCAGAACCCTATCCTTTCATTTCCACGGTCATATGTAACAAGAGTATTGCGGACAATAATTCCTGCAGGAAAAGGAAGCTTAATGATACCGAAGAAATAACTGGGACCTTTCTGACACATACCCAGAAGAGGAACAAGCAAAAGAACATTGGATAGCTAGATGAGGAAAGACCAAAAGGATTTTGAATGAGTCAAACATTGTTAATGAAGAAAAACAAACAAATGTGATTCCCTCTAAAATGTAATCAACTTTAAAGAATGCAATCATCACACCACAAGAAAGATGCAGAATATCATGCATTATTTGAATATGACTCAGGTATAATTGCATTAACTCTATAAGCTTACTGTGAACGGGTAAAAAATGATACCTCCCAGAAGGGTTGTGGGATCTTTCCCATTCTGAAAAACTCCCAAGCAATATGCACCACGAACTTTCGAATGCTATCAGATGCAGAAATAATCAGAAAAAAGAAAAGACAAATTAGATTTAGTAAATCAAGTGAAAGAAATAAGAAAGAAATATATGAAAAAAATAAGTAGTTCGCCAGCAATGAACAATAAGATCAACATAATCTATTACTCTTTTATAAAGAGACAATAAATGGTAATTGAGCATATTACTCTGAACAAGTAATTCTCAGGAGCTAGTGTCACCATTTGCCCATTTTCAAATACCATGTTAACGTCAGGAAAAGTCTTTGAGAGTTCAGACACCTCACTGCACATAACAGTAAGCAGTTAATCATAGGGTTATGGGAAAATGATATTCAAAATGTAAAACCTTAAAATTTTGAGGTCTAATGTAACATAGAGAATACCTTCCAGAACCAGAAAAGCATACGTCATGATATGAAGGGTCAGGGCCAGGAATCCGTCTAAGAGAGTGAATCTGTTTCATCATCTGTAGGGAAAAACACACAAATCAAGAAGCCATGGGGCACAAAATCGGAAACTTAAAAGTCACAAAAAAAGTAAGAAAAGCTATCACTTGAGAAAGAAAGAGAAAATTCATTTAAGCCACTAAGAAGAACATAAAATTGTCTTCTTTTTATTACCATTAAGAGCATATGATATCTCAAAATGACAAAACAAGAAAACAACCATTACACCAATCCGCACTTGTGAGAACTGGAAAAAACAAAGGTGCTTGATCAACAAGTAAGAGTTCGCAGTTGGATACTGACCCATTCCGCAGTTGGATACTGACCCATTCCCAGAAATTGGTCTAGACAGGAAGGTATACATGACTTAAGACTATATCATGATTTCATGAATATACTAGCTTTTCTCATTTAAGACAACATTTATCTAAGATGTCAGCAAATCCACATGGTTCACATCATGCAGATAAAAGTGAATAAACTTTGATTGGTTTCAAATAAAATGTAAAACCTACAACAGCATAAGGTAAAGGTTATCTCAGGCATCCTCGAGAACACCACCAAGCATAACTATCAAAAAAATAAAAATGAAAAAACATCACCAAGGATGAAATGTAATCATAATTAACTATGCATTACTGTGCATACCATCCAACTACCCCCCCAAGCTCACGAATAGTATGGGTAATTCTTATTCTACTTATGTTGGATCAAAAGGAAACCAATTATGTAGAGACTTGTAGCTGAGCCATCAGAGAACAATAAGGACAGCGCCTCTTACATTCTATCAGGAAGAGACACATGGATATAAAACTCAGACTGAATAAAAAGTCTATCAAAATAGTGAAACATAATATCAAAAGTTAGATGCCAAGCCACATATACGGATGCTGACATGGATACCATGAGCAAAGATAAAACATGGAAATTCCCAAAATCCAGAACGCGGACACAGAATAGAGTTTCCTATACGACAAATTGTAACTTCTGCAGTATAGATTATGTAGCATATCAATTTTGATGAAGTGTAACAATATATAATATATTTTTTATGTCATTATCATCACAATCGCTTTAGATTTTGGTCATATCATATTTCGTGTTCTAGATACACAATTTAAAATGTCCACATTTACATTCTAAGTATATCATGTTATACGTTAATTTGTTGTTATATTCATATTGTATTTTATATATATAGCATTTAAAGTCATAATTTTTTTGATTAAAGGATCTTAAAATTCACAATTATTCTCAAATAAATAGATATCAATATATTTAACAAATACAACTATCTGGTGACATAGCTCAAAGCCCAAAAAAAAATATAAGACGACCATGTAGGAACTCCCAATCCAAAACAGTTGATCCATTTACTGCAAAAGTAAAAAAATTTACGGCATTCCTTAAAGAATCATCCATCCAGGATCAATGTAACCCTTTGGCATCAATTAGAAACAAAAGCACTCATTGTAATACCCGTTCCAATCATCTAAACATTACCAACATCTATGGGGCTAGGAGTGGACTACGGCCCAGTCAAAATATTCAAATTGAGAGCACCGAACACGTACCTAAAAAGAACCAATTTCCTAGCAAGCCCAATAGAAGGTAATGAGAGTTAAGTGCAGATAATAAAATTCTACGGGGAAACGATGAGTGATGATTTTTAGTTGGATCATCAGTAAGCATTAGATGCACATCAGAAGAAAACCATTATCAATGAGCACTATCAAGTTTAAAAAAATAAGGGCGCTCCATTTCAATAAAATACGAAAGGACAATGACCAAAGTGCTAGGGAAACTCGCATAGGCATGCAGATGCTTTAGAAACACAAAAATCCAGTCACAAGCTAGGACATTCTTTCAAATTTCAATTAACTGCATGGATAAGTGAAAATTATATTTACCGACATATTTACCATTCCTAACTAACACAAGGTTTATAAAATAAGTTCATCAAAAAGGGTATTTCTGATAATGCATTCGATTTAAGCTCCTAATGCATTTTATCAGTCTGAGCACATCTTTTAAAATAAGAATGCAAATAAAAGAATACATTGGAGGGGCACTTTATTCAAAGACAGACTCATCTCTTATCCTATCTCTCTGTTAGTATTTGTTGTGCGATTGAAATACAGAAACAGGTCAAAGTTGCATGATAGGAGGCTCCTCTCATAATAGGAAACATTGTTGGCATTGATACTCCAAATAACGCTAACCCATCCCACATATTAAGAAAAACAATAGTTGGAATAAAACATGAATGAGTTGGTTTGATACAAACCAGATAGGTAAAGTGGGCAAAAAAAGATGTGAGCTCGTCCATGTATTTGTGGACTTTTCTGATGAGCACTTTTATGTCCTATGCAGATGTTCCACCCAATCATGAATCCCTTTCCGAAAACAAATAAAACAAATCTATTTGAACAGGTGCAAGAGAAAAGCGACATAAATAGAAGTTATTCAGTAGCTTGTCAGAATCTAGAGATCCCAAAAAACTAACCAGTAAAATGCAAATGCCATACAACTTCTTCAAGGTAGAAAACTGGAGTGGTTTGGGGCGGTGCCTCTTAATCAATTATGCAAGTTATACTAAGATACAAATTATTTTTTTTATAAATAAATGAAAATTCGTTAAATTTCAATAACATCTAGGCTTTGACAACACTTACCCAAGTACTATCTATCAGTATTTAATAGTAAACATCCTGTCAGTACAAATGCCTAGCCAAAAGCCCATTTCATTTGCAAAGAAATTCAAACCTATAAGTCCCAATATATGACAATTAAACATGACAAGATTTATTAAACAAAGCTGGCTTCAGAAGGAATATCATGCACATCAAAAATAGCACTACCAATCTATCATGCGTATGTACAATTTCCATTTTTAGGTTAGTTAAGTATCCATTCAAAAATATAAATAATAATAAGACGAAAAAAACTTAAGAAAAGAAATAAAAAAAAAAGTTTGGTTATTGTTCCTGCATGCTCATTCTTGATGATTCTCAGCAACCAAATCTAATTAAAACAAAACATAAATGCAAAGGAAAGAAGCCCTACCGCATCCTTAAATGCCAGAAAAGCTACTTCAGGTAGGTATGCATAGGTAGTGCCACTATCTAAAACCGTCCCATGCTTGCTATTAAAAACACTCGGATTTAACCGCAGTGACTTGCCCGCAACATGTATTTCCTTCAGTTCAAGATTGTAGTATGGACTGTTTCCATACCATCACTAGAGTAAATATGTCACGAGCATCAAATCTAAATTTCATAAAATACAAAACATGTAGCTTCTATTATATAAAATTACTGAACAGTACCTGCGTAGAGGATCTGAATGAGAAAAGACCATGCCTGGAGGGGGAGGGATTCCACCTAAAACCATTCCACCCCCGCCAAAACCCATTCCACCGTAACATAGAGAAAATGAATCAGTTATTGCACCTTTTTCAACAAGCTGATCCATTATACTAAGCTTACCACGACCTAGGCCTATAATTCCATCAGCATGCTGACTATATAAATCACCAGTTTCAGCATTTTCACAACCAAAGACAGCACGGTGCGGGGGAAGGGCACTTTCGTTGCCAAACGACACAATATCATTTCCAAGAACCCCACTGCTTGAGCTCATTTCTGCATATTGTCTCTCATAAACACATTGGTCTTTCTCTCTGTCACAGTCGCAATCCAAGTTACATCTTACTGGCTGATATGTGCTTGACGAATCAGGTTGGAACTTTGGGTCCTGCATTAATTAAAAAAAAAGAAAAAGAAAAGAAAACAAAAAAGAAAACCTTCACCATTCTATAATGATAATAAGTAAGAACCTTCTTCAAAGGGAAAAAGTCTAGAGTCATGGCTCTAAACAATCAAATTAGAGCCCACCTCAAAAATTTCACCAAAAGAGGTTGTTTTGATGCCCAAATGTCCTCAAATTAATCATCTCGATATCAAGATGCATGGACATGATAAAAAAATGGATTTCAAGTTTTGGAAATAGTGCATCTTGTAATGCATTTTTGGACCGTCAATTTTCAAGTTTTCATGAATCTGCTCGATCTACTATATTTTTTAAGCTTTAAATTTTATAATTAAAGATGAAAATATATCTTAAGGCTATCACAAAGATTTCCAGGAAAGAAACAATATTTCTCGACACTATTTGAAAGTGCACTTTACTTTGATTGTTTAGAGCCTCGGTTCTATACAAACCGCACCCTTTTCAAAGTAAAAAATTAAACTTTCCGCGGTGGACATTTAACAAAGGAAATTGATGATACAAATCATAGAATTCTGGGTGCTATTTAGAGAACTGACGTGCACTTCAAACACCTTACGAAGTTATCTCATCTTTCAAAATTTCTACGGGGATGGGGTGACATGGCTCTCCTCATAGGAGAGAGCATAGTTACCTGAATCTCACTCCGAAGGTCATTTCCAATCCAAAACCCCAATTCGGCAATTCGGACTAGGAATATTCATGGAAACCGCTTCCACGAAGTCTAGAATCTCGATTCCTTATTTTAGGAATCTCGATTCCTTATTTTAGGAATCTAGATTCCAGCGCTTACAAAATCTCATTTCCAATATTTACTGATTCTCGACTCTGCAATTGAAGAATCTCGATTCTACACTTGTTCTTTTTGAAACCTATCTCGATTTTACACTAGTTAAAATTGTTTTCCACATTAAAGGAATTTTACTCCCCCCCCCAAAAAAATTTATTTTTGTTTTTTCTTTAGAAAAGAAGTGAAGTTTTTCAAGGCATCAAACTACTCAACCTAGACACCAATCTCAAGCTACAAGGTGTAGTCATCTTTTTGGCATGAAATGACCAATAGAAACCAAAAGTGGTGGTTCACGTTCTGTACTTAATTTTTTATGTATGCATTGTATTGATGAATAGAAATATTGCAACTCCAAGATGACATAATGTAATATAAATAACGTAAAGATGCATGTATGGCATCCCGGTCAATGAATAGCACTAAGACATGTATTGTTTTACACGTCCTTCTAAGTTCCCTCTCGATTCCAAAGAGATGTCGAAATCTCGATTCCAAAGAGATCTCGGAATCTCGATTCCATAAATGAAGGAATCTCAATTCCATATTAGTCGATTCCAAAATAGGTCGAAAACTCAATTCTATAGAGCTAGTAATCTCGCTTCCATCCATGTAGGGATCTTGATTTCATTTTGTTCGAATCATGATTCCTATAAAGTAGGAATCTCATTTCCCACGATTCCTCTTGTACAGACGTCGACTCCGAAAACCAAATTCTTCTAGCGGGTGGCATTCCATGATTCCAATCCTAAACCGATTCAGATTCAGAATCGTTTCCAACAACTATGGTTTTGAATGTGGATGGCTGGCTAATCAAGTCACAATTGTGAAAAGATACTTATATTACTCAAATTGCATAATTCGGTTATCTGCACACTCAAACAAATATTGAATTCATTTGACCAAGAAACCTGCATGGCATTACAACACATGGTTGGGTGGATAAACAAGTACGTATGCTTGTCCACCAAGAGATGCATACATGCATATCTATCAACGATATATTGTTATCACCCATGAAATTGTTAGAAAATGTGGCCAAAAATAAAACACCCAAGGATATATAGACAAAACCAACACACACGAAGGCCTCATGGTTTCCACAGGTAGCCAATCAAAAAGAGGCTGCAAACCACAGATAGAATGCAAAACTAGGGTTACTTTGGTTGCAATAGATGTTTCTTATGTAAAGCTGAGACACTATCACCTCTTCATTACATGGGACTTTGTGGGTGAGATTTGGAAAGCAATCACAAGGAGATTCGATACCAGAACCATAGCCAGCTCAAACATCCAAAGCGTCTTAATAAATTGGTTCCAAAAGAATTTTTTTTTTTTGGATTTAAAACCAAGTTCTTATACAAGCTTTGGAATGCCACTCTCCCCACTCAAATTTGCATCATATTGGCAAAACAAAACCAATGGGCTAAGGAAGATTACCCTCACAGCATTCAAGGAACACTGTAACAATCCTAAACTTTCAAAAATATATGTATATAATAATAATAATAATATTAAGGTTGTTAACAGAAATAAATACAAAAAAAAAAAAATAATAATAATAATAATAATAATAAAATAAAATAAATAAATAAAATAATAAGTATATATTAGTAATGATAATAATAATAATAATACTAATATACCGTTAGGATATTGTTGCTTTTATATTAACAATAAATAAAAGATATTACTGTTAATATATTTGAGGGTTCAATTTTACTTGAGTGGACTTTAAGTCCACCACCTTAAAGTTTTACAACAACACTCCTTTAATCAACACCTTGCATTAAGGTGTTTTCTTTTTATTCGTCCTTCTCTCTCTCTAAACATTTAAAACCCTAGCCCTATTATGGTTTCTGTAACTACTTTATGTGTACGAGGACCTTCTCTCTCTAAAGCCTACCCCAAAACCAAATCTCTCTCTCTCTCATCGAAACCCTTGGCTGTTTGTATTTTGCCCGTACTCTTCTCGAAGATCAAGCCTGCTCGAAGAATATCCACCCTCTTGGCTCTGCCCCCCAAAGAAATACACAGAGAAATTAAACTGGTCTCTCACTTGAAATTCCATTTAAGATCTCTCTCTCTCTCTACAATCTCGCCCTCTCTCTCTCCCTTTCTTGAATCAGTCCTCTCTATCCTTTTTTATCCTCGTTCAAGTAGACAATTTGTGCCATTTAAAGATTCTCTTATCTCTCTCTCTAGCCGAATTCTTATCGGAAGCTCCTACTCAAATATTTTAGGTAAGTGACATCGTCTTCCTGAAAAATAGTCTGTTTTTAATAAATAGTGATATTTCCGTCCAGGATCTTTATTTTATCAGTTTTATGTGTAAGTGACCTCATTGTCTCGAAAAATAATCCATTCTTTTTAAAAATAAAATGAAATAATTATTTCTACTTATTATCATGAATTTTAGGTGCGATAAATTTTATGCGCACACGACCTCATTATCTTGAAAAATAATCTTTTTAATAAAAATTGTGATATTTTATCTATGTTAGAAATTTTAAATGCTGTAAATTCTTAGAAAAATAAATTATTTATTTTTCTTGGCTATTGTTGGAAAATTTTAGATACTATCAAATTATTAGAAATAAATGTGATATTTCTGCTTTTAGTAAAATTGTGATATTTCTTTCTACTGTTTTGAATATTTAGACATTATAAAATTCATGTGCAAATGACTGCCTTATTATTGACATTTTTGCAATTGATTATAGTATTGTTGTGAAATGTTTATTTGTGGATTGATATCCCATAAATTGTGATAATTCCGTATTCTTGAATTTCTATAAGGGTTTTTCTATACATATTAAATTGGCAATTATGCTAGAATGCCTTTACAAACTGCTACCTTTCTAAATTTGAGCCCAAAATATTTGATTGGTTATTTTTGAAATGTTATAGAGAGTGACTGTTATTAATGGTTTAAGTGAAATTCATATTAATGATTTCAGTGATATGTTGAGTACATGATATTGCTGCTTTCAAATGTTTAAAGAGATTTAGAAATAATTTAAGTATGCAAGTGGACTCATCCGGTTCGTCGATGAGGTATAAGTGGACCTATCTGGGACGCCGGTAGGGATTAAGTGGACTCATCCGGTACGCCGGTGAGGTATAAGTGGACCTGCAGGGATTAAGTGGACATATCTGGGACACCGATAGGGATTAAGTGGACCCATCAGGACGCTGATGGGGTATATAGGTGACCTACTTGGGACGCCAGTAGGGTATTTTGTGAAATCCTTTGAATTATGCACTGCC